CAGAGGGACAAACTTTAAGGGGACAAACTCACAAGGGGACAAACTTTAAGGGGACAAACTCACAGGACGCTGAATGTGGAAAATATTTGGCCCGATTACTTAAAAATGTAAATACAGAACGAGAATTCAATGAGATTTTTTTTTTAGGAAATCTAAAGTCTAGTGTGATGTCAAAGTGTAAAGCCATAAAATGAAAGTCAAAGTCGACTTTATTGTCAATGTCTCTGTGTTTGATACAAACAGGGACATCATGTATACAGATACACGCCTGAACACCCACTTCTATACACATACAGATATATATTCACATATATTTCATTTCATTTCAAACCTTTGTTTATCCAGGTGTATCCCATTGAGATCATTGATCTCTTTTTCAAGGGAGACCTGCTCAAGTAGGTTCCACATGAAACATAAAAACATAAACAGAACAAAAAGGACATCATACAGCATCATTACAGGGATTACAATTACATAACTAAACTATATACATAAACACACATTAAGAGGTATATATGAATTAAGAGGTATAAGTAAATATATAAAATGAACGGTCTACACATGGTTTTCAACGAGGTTCCCGGCTCACAAAGTTCCTAATTTGACAGATAAAGAGAACATTGCAAGGGGCTCCGAGTGTTAATTGAAAGCCTTTTCATAATAAGACTTATTCAGGATGGTTTTCATGTTCTTATCCTTAACCTATTACACGTCTTACTTGCTCTTTTCAACCTGACGAAACGAGCGGTTCATTAGCGTGTGGGATTTCTTGAGATTTCATCATTAGCATAATCAATGGACCCGTATGAGGTGACCTGCTGTGGGCGAGTTCAATTAAAAGACTCGCTTACCACTGCTGAGTGCCGCTGAGGAAACTAGCAGTGGAAATGTAGTTTGCTTTTACAGGAAAACAATTACAAATATTACAGCAAATGTCAACGCTGTGTCATCACGAAGCTGTACCGTGACAGGAATAAACTCTGCATTAAGTCAGACACTAAAAAAAGGTTTTGTTAAAGTAGAGACAGAAATAAACTCCATGTTTCACTGAGGGGTGCAACAGAGGAGTTTCCCTGAAGAGCGACCTGCATTTAGACGCAACGAGTCTGGCCAAAATGAATCTGATTTCGGTATCAAACACAAAGTTATAGTGGCCGACAGGTGCATGAAAATGCGCTACAACGCCCCAATAATATTTCCAGCAGGAGATACGTGCTGCAACGAGGCAAATAAAAAAACACAAATGTGCCAAAACAATCATGAAGAAACATCTTCAGCAACTTGACAACACATGCAGCGTTTAGAGAACATTCAGGGACTTGAGGAGACCAGGGGACACTAAAGAGTGACGCACACAGCTGAGAGACCAGGGGACACTAAAGAGTGACGCACACAGCTGGGAGACCAGGGGACACTAAAGAGTGACACACACAGCTGGGAGACCAGGGGACACTAAAGAGTGACGCACACAGCTGGGAGACCAGGGGACACTAAAGAGTGACGCACACAGCTGGGAGACCAGGGGACACTAAAGAGTGACGCACACAGCTGGAGACCAGGGGACACTAAAGAGTGACGCACACAGCTGGGAGACCAGGGGACACTAAAAAGTGACGCACACAGCTGGGAGACCAGGGACACTAAAGAGTGACGCACACAGCTGGAGACCAGGGGACACTAAAGAGTGACGCACACAGCTGGGAGACCAGGGGACACTAAAGAGTGACGCACACAGCTGGGAGACCAGGGGACACTAAAAAGTGACGCACACAGCTGGAGTCCAGGGGACACTAAAGAGTGACGTACACAGCTGGGAGACCAGGAGACACTAAAGAGTGACGCACACAGCTGGAGACCGGGGGACACTAAAGAGTGACGCACACAGCTGGGAGACCAGGGGACACTAAAGAGTGACGCACACAGCTGGAGTCCAGGGGACACTAAAGAGTGACGTACACAGCTGGGAGACCAGGGGACACTAAAGAGTGACGCACACAGCTGGGAGACCAGGAGACACTAAAGAGTGACGCACACAGCTGGGAGACCAGTGGACAATAAAGAGTGACGCACACAGCTGGAAACCAGGGGACACTAAAGAGTGACGCACACAGCTGGGAGACCAGGGGACACTAAAGAGTGACGCACACAGCTGGAGTCCAGGGGACACTAAAGAGTGACGTACACAGCTGGGAGACCAGGGGACACTAAAGAGTGACGCACACAGCTGGGAGACCAGTAGACAATAAAGAGTGACGCACACAGCTGGGAGACCAGGAGACACTAAAGAGTGACGCACACAGCTGGAAACCAGGGGACACTAAAGAGTGACGCACACAGCTGGGAGACCAGGGGACACTAAAGAGTGACGCACACAGCTGGGAGACCAGGGGACACTAAAGAGTGACGCACACAGCTGGGAGACCAGGAGACACTAAAGAGTGACGCACACAGCTGGAGACCAGGAGACACTAAAGAGTGACGCACACAGCTGGAGACCAGGGGACACTAAAGAGTGACGCACACAGCTGGGAGACCAGTGGACACTAAAGAGTGACGCACACAGCTGGAGACCAGGGGACACTAAAGAGTGACGCACACAGCTGGGAGACCAGGAGACACTAAAGAGTGACGCACACAGCTGGAGACCAGGGGACACTAAAGAGTGACGCACACAGCTGGGAGACCAGGGGACACTAAAGAGTGACACACACAGCTGGAGTCCAGGGGACACTAAAGAGTGACGCACACAGCTGGGAGACCAGGGGACACTAAAGAGTGACGCACACAGCTGGGAGACCAGGGGACACTAAAGAGTGACGCACACAGCTGGAGACCAGGGTACACTAAAGAGTGACGCGCACAGCTGGAGTCCAGGGGACACTAAAGAGTGACGCACACAGCTGGAGTCCAGGGGACACTAAAGAGTGACGCACACAGCTGGGAGACCAGAGGACACTAAAGAGTGACGCACACAGTTGGGAGACCAGGGGACACTAAAGAGTGATGCACACAGCTGGGAGACCAGGGGACACTAAAGAGTGACGCACACAGCTGGGAGACATGGGGACACTAAAAAGTGACGCACACAGCTGGAGTCCAGGGGACACTAAAGAGTGACATACACAGCTGGGAGACCAGGGGACACTAAAGAGTAACACACACAGCTGGGAGACCAGGGGACACTAAAGAGTGACGCACACAGCTGGGAGACATGGGGACACTAAAAAGTGACGCACACAGCTGGAGTCCAGGGGACACTAAAGAGTGACGTACACAGCTGGGAGACCAGGGGACACTAAAGAGTGACGCACACAGCTGGGAGACCAGGGGACACTAAAGAGTGACGCACACAGCTGGAGACCAGGGGACACTAAAGAGTGACGCACACAGCTGGGAGACCAGAGGACACTAAAGAGTGACACACACAGTTGGGAGACCAGGGGACACTAAAGAGTGACGCGCACAGCTGGAGTCCAGGGGACACTAAAGAGTGACACACACAGCTGGAGTCCAGGGGACACTAAAGAGTGACGCACACAGCTGGGAGACCAGAGGACACTAAAGAGTGACGCACACAGTTGGGAGACCAGGGGACACTAAAGAGTGACGCACACAGCTGGGAGACCAGGGGACACTAAAGAGTGACGCACACAGCTGGGAGACATGGGGACACTAAAAAGTGACGCACACAGCTGGAGTCCAGGGGACACTAAAGAGTGACGTACACAGCTGGGAGACCAGGGGACACTAAAGAGTGACGCACACAGCTGGGAGACCAGGGGACACTAAAGAGTGACGCACACAGCTGGAGACCAGGGGACACTAAAGAGTGACGCACACAGCTGGGAGACCAGAGGACACTAAAGAGTGACACACACAGTTGGGAGACCAGGGGACACTAAAGAGTGACGCACACAGCTGGGAGACCAGGGGACACTAAAGAGTGACGCACACAGCTGGAGACCAGGGGACACTAAAGAGTAACGCACACAGCTGGGAGACCAGGGGACACTAAAGAGTGACGCACACAGCTGGAGACCAGGGGACACTAAAGAGTGACGCACACAGCTGGGAGACCAGGGGACACTAAAAAGTGACGCACACAGCTGGGAGACCAGGGACACTAAAGAGTGACGCACACAGCTGGAGACCAGGGGACACTAAAGAGTGACGCACACAGCTGGGAGACCAGGGGACACTAAAGAGTGACGCACACAGCTGGGAGACCAGGGGACACTAAAGAGTGACGCACACAGCTTGGAGACCAGCGGACACTAAAGAGTAACGCACACAGCTGGGAGACCAGGGGACACTAAAGATTGACGCACACAGCTGGGAGACCAGGGGACACTAAAGAGTGACGCACACAGCTGGGAGACCAGGGGACACTAAAGAGTGACGCACGCAGCTGGGAGACCAGGGGACACTAAAGAGTGACGCACAGCTGGGAGACCAGGGGACACTAAAGAGTGACGCACACAGCTTGGAGACCAGGGGACACTAAAGAGTGACGCACACAGCTGGGAGACCAGGGGACACTAAAGATTGACGCACACAGCTGGGAGACCAGGGGACACTAAAGAGTGACGCACACAGCTTGGAGACCAGGGGACACTAAAGAGTGACGCACGCAGCTGGGAGACCTGGGGACACTAAAGAGTGACGCACACAGCTGGGAGACCAGGGGACACTAAAGAGTGACGCACGCAGCTGGGAGACCAGGGGACACTAAAGAGTGACGCACGCAGCTGGGAGACCAGGGGACACTAAAGAGTGACGCACACAGCTGGGAGACCAGGGGACACTAAAGAGTGACGCACGCAGCTGGGAGACCAGGGGACACTAAAGAGTGACGCACACAGCTGGGAGACCAGGGGACACTAAAGAGTGACGCACACAGCTGGGAGACCAGGGGACACTAAAGAGTGACGCACACAGCTGGGAGACCAGGGGACACTAAAAAGTGACGCACACAGCTTGGAGGCCAGGGGACACTAAAGAGTGACGCACACAGCTGGGAGACCAGGGGACACTAAAGAGTGACGCACACAGCTGGGAGACCAGGGGACACTAAAGAGTGACACACACAGCTGGGAGACCAGGGGACACTAAAGAGTGACGCGCACAGCTGGGACGGAGCGCTTGGTGACGTTCAGGATTATAAAGCTGGACAACTGTCTCTGTTGTTGGAAACATACCTCTCATTGTGTGCATCACTTTTTAGAGTCCCCTGGAAACAGTTCCCGTTGTATTTGAACTTCTAGCACGTTTTATTATTTTTATTTTATACGGCACTTTAAGTAAACACTGCACACGTTTCCTCAAGATGGTGAAAATGTGTCTTCATTTTGATGTGTTTTGCAAAATGTGTGTTTTTATATTTGCATCGTACTCCAAACGGAAATGTTTTGGGCCGTTGTAGCACGTTTGCACCTGTCAGCCACCGTACGACTCATTTAAAAGGACCATGTATTAAAATGCACTAATCTCAAAAAAGAGATGTCAGATTTTACCTAATTTCCATCTGCAGCAACACACATAATCAATAAACCATGAAACATTACATATCTCTATCAGACGAACAATTATACGGACGGATCAAAGCATGCATCGACGTGGACCTACCAGCACATTTAATCAGTACAACTTATAATATAACACATGTTTGATCATATTTTACTGCAGTTAGTAGTAGAAAGGTAACGGTCCTCTGTGTTTTACTCCCCCCCCCCCCCCCCCCCCCCCCCCCGCCGTGCAGACAGAGGAAGAGCTGGAGTTGGTGAGTGAGGTGAAGACCCCTTTTAGAATTTTAAACCCCGTGGATGTGGAGTGATCTCACTGAGCATGAGCATGCACCTTCGTTAGGGTTGAAGAGAGTAGAAGAAGAGAGGGGGAACACCAGGAACCAATCAGCTGCTTGCACTGGTTCCTGCAGGATTCAGAGTTCAATACACACACCGAGCCTCTCACAGTCCCAACGCAGAGACACACTCAAGGAGAGTCGAGATCTGGAGGGCTGGACACTTGAATCCAAAACAAATGAACTTTTAAGGAGTTTGAAGTTTGCCCGGTAAAATCCCAGAACGATGCCGGATAATAAAGAGAGGCAGAATCAGGAATACTTTATTTATCACAGGGGGGAGTTGGGTTTCCTGAGAGTAAAATATAAATCAATTAAAAGTAAGAATAAAATACGACATTTTCATAAAATTGGAAGCTTTTGAGGGAACATTGAGGGAACATTACGAGAACATTGAGGGAACATTGAGGGAACATTCAGGGAACATTGAGGGAACATTGAGGGAACATTACGAGAACATTGAGGGAACATTGAGGGACCGTTACGAGAACATTGAGGGAACATTGAGGGAACATTAAGAACATATTGAGGGAACATTACGAGAACATTGAGGGAACATTAAGAGAGTATTGAGGGAACATTGAGGGAACATTGAGAACATATTGAGGGAACATTACGAGAACATTGAGGGATCATTAAGAGAACATTGAGGGAACATTGAGGGAACATTAAGAACATATTGAGGGAACATTACGAGAACATTGAGGGAACATTAAGAGAACATTGAGGGAACATTGAGGGGACATTAAGAACATATTGAGGGAACATTACGAGAACATTGAGGGAACATTAAGAGAGCATTGAGGGAACATTGAGAACATATTGAGGGAACATTACGAGAACATTGAGGGAACATTAAGAGAACATTGAGGGAACATTGAGGGAACATTAAGAACATATTGAGGGAACATTACGAGAACATTGAGGGAACATTAAGAGAGCATTGAGGGAACATTGAGGGAACATTAAGAGAACATTGAGGGAACATTGAGGGAACATTAAGAGAACATTGAGGGAACATTGAGGGAACATTAAGAACATATTGAGGGAACATTACGAGAACATTGAGGGAACATTGAGAGAACACAAATGGACATTGAGGGGACATTGCGAGAATATTGAAGGAACATTGAGAGGACACAAAAGGAACATTCAGAAAACATTGATGGAACATCACAAGAATATTTAAGTAACACAAAGGAACATTGAGGGAACTTTGAGAAACATCTAGAGAACAGTATGATAATATTTAAGAAACATTGAGGGAACATTCCGAGAATATTGAAGGAACATTGAGGGAACACAAAGGGACATTGAGGGACATTGAGAGTACTCAAAGGAACATTGAGGGAACACAAAGGGACATTGAGGGAACATTGAGAGTACACAAAGGAACATCGAAGGAACATTGAAGGAACATTGAGGGAACATTGAGGGGTAACAAAGGGACATCGAAGGAACATTGAAGGAACATTGAGAGTACACAAAGGAACATCGAGGGAACATTGAGGGAACATTGAGGGAACATTGAGGGAACATTGAGGGAACACAAAGGGACATCGAAGGAACATTGAAGGAACATTGAGGGAACATTGAGGGAACACAAAGGGACATCGAAGGAACATTGAAGGAACATTGAGAGTACACAAAGGAACATCGAGGGAACATTGAGGGAACATTGAGGGAACATTGAGGGAACATTGAGGGAACATTGAGGGAACATTGAGGGACCATTGAGGGAACCGGAGCGACCAGCTGACTGTGTGCAGTTTGCTCAGCATGTGCATGTTTGGTTTATCTCAGTGCCGACGCTCAAAGGATCACAGTGAGAAAACATCACAACCTGGAACACACACACACATTGGAGGTCGGCACACTGACCCCTTCACCCCCTCCCAAAACACACACACACATTCATGCTGACATGTGTTCATGCATATTTCTCCGCATAAATACACACCCAAAAAACAAACACCTTTCACTGTGTTTGAAATCCTCACATACCTTCTTTTCACACCATGGCACACACATACGTTTTCAACACACACACACACAGATTTGTCGATGCATGCGTTCCTGTCGGCATGAAGCCTCTCATCACACCTTCCTCCGTGACGCTACATAACGCCATGCCAACGCCACCTCGAGATGCGAGACACTTGTCATCTTTGCATGCAGATGTTAAAGTGTCGATGAAAAAGTTAAACGCCTCGGGGAGGAATGGAGGTGCTTGACATCATCCACTGCCCTGCACATTTATCACTGCTCTGGTGCATTTGCTTTATACTATTTGTCTTTATTTAATCTGCCGATAAAACCCCAAACTGAGGGATACAAAAGTGAATTGGTGTTGCTGCACTTAGCTTCGTGAAGCAAAGACTAATGCATGGGTTTTCCATTTGGACTAAAAGCAGAACAAGCTGTGATTTAAGTGAAACATTTCAGTAGTAATAGTGTAATTAAATAGTTCTCATTACAACAACGTCTCTGCAGCCGCTCTGCTGTACAGTGGGAAGCACATGCTAACCATTATCATTATTACTGTTGAAAATGGATGATGTCATGTTCTCCTACAATGGGCCCATAAAAGGGGATAAAAAACGAGGTGAAACCCGACCAGGTTTTCTCACGACACTGAAGGCAAAGAGCCAAGAAAATAGAGTTTAGTTGTGAATGTTAATGGATGTCATAGCAGTATTTATTTATACAATAACAATGTTTAATCTTGATATAGGGCAACATTCCTTAAAGGGGCCCTATTATGCAAATATGGAGGCTCATATTAGTATGTAGTGTCTCTACTTTAAAGAGTCCTCTCCTGCTGATGTTCAGGTGTATATCAGTATGTAGTGTCTCTACTTTAAAGAGTCCTCTCCTGCTGATGTTCAGGTGTATATCAGTATGTATTGTCTCTACTTTAAAGAGTCCTCTCCTGCTGATGTTCAGGTGTATATCAGTATGTAGTGTCTCTACTTTAAAGAGTCCTCTCCTGCTGATGTTCAGGTGTATATCAGTATGTAGTGTCTCTACTTTAAATAGTCCTCTCCTGCAGATGTTCAGGTGTATATCAGTATGTAGTGTCTCTACTTTAAAGAGTCCTCTCCTGCTGATGTTCAGGTGTATATCAGTATGTAGTGTCTCTACTTTAAAGAGTCCTCTCCTGCTGATGTTCAGGTGTATATCAGTATGTAGTGTCTCTACTTTAAAGAGTCCTCTCCTGCTGATGTTCAGGTGTATATCAGTATGTAGTGTCTCTACTTTAAAGAGTCCTCTCCTGCTGATGTTCAGGTGTATATCAGTATGTAGTGTCTCTACTTTAAAGAGTCCTCTCCTGCTGATGTTCAGGTGTATATCAGTATGTAGTGTCTCTACTTTAAAGAGTCCTCTCCTGCTGATGTGCAGGTGTATATCAGTATGTAGTGTCTCTACTTTAAAGAGTCCTCTCCTGCTGATGTTCAGGTGTATATCAGTATGTAGTGTCTCTACTTTAAAGAGTCCTCTCCTGCTAATGTTCAGGTGTATATCAGTATGTAGTATCTCTACTTTAAAGAGTCCTCTCCTGCTGATGTTCAGGTGTATATCAGTATGTAGTGTCTCTACTTTAAAGAGTCCTCTCCTGCTGATGTTCAGGTGTATATCAGTATGTAGTGTCTCTACTTTAAAGAGTCCTCTCCTGCTGATGTTCAGGTGTATATCAGTATGTAGTGTCTCTACTTTAAAGAGTCCTCTCCTGCTGATGTTCAGGTGTATATCAGTATGTAGTGTCTCTACTTTAAAGAGTCCTCTCCTGCTAATGTTCAGGTGTATATCAGTATTTGGTGTCTCTACTTTAAAGAGTCCTCTCCTGCTGATGTTCAGGTGTATATCAGTATGTAGTGTCTCTACTTTAAAGAGTCCCCTCCTGCTGATGTTCAGGTGTATATCAGTATGTAGTGTCTCTACTGGGACATGTCTCCATGCTTAGAGATGTCCCGCCCCTTAGCTTATCGCGTACAATGTGTTGAAGCGCTAGCCAATAGAAGCGTGAGTGTTCCATAGTGATGTCATTATGTTCCCAAAGTCTCCATTTAGTTGGAGACCCCCTTGAAGCCACCTCCAAACGCTCCTAAAAGTCCCCAAATCCCACTTTCTGTTTCTCATTTTCCTCCCTCCATCTCTGTGTTTTCCCAGAATGCTCAGCGGCTAGGCGTCTCCCAGTCGCTCACCACACCTGTGGTCTCCGTGGCAACACCCAGTCTCCTCGCTCCCTTCTCCGGCATGCAGACAGCCTACAATACGGGTAAGACAGCGAACGCACCACGGACTAAATCTGTGTGTTTACGTCGGGACACTCAACACCTACATTTACTTTTTTAAATGAAGTGTTACGGCCCGTCTACACTACAGGCATCGAAAAAGCTTGAAGCTGGGCGTGTCTGAAGCTTGGCGATTTCACGCGCCCAAGGCGACCAACAACCAATCACATGAATCTCCCGCCCCCGACATACAAAGCAATAGCAATGTTAAAACGAAGTAAACTGGATATAAAATCCCCAAACAGGCGAAAACCTACCAGTTTCACCCACTGTCTCTGCCACCTCCCTCCATGCCTGGCTCCTCCGGTTTGTATCCCGGTAAATAGTTCTGGTCGGAAAGAACCGGGTGATTTGCTACCGTAATTTCTCGTTATGAGGAAATTAACTGCGGTCTGGCTCTCCCAGCTTGCACGCGGTTTGATTGGCTAGCGTTTGTACTGGCGGGAATTGCAAAAACGGGATTTGATTGGCTGACGCCAGCTTCGAGCAAGCATCGAGCCTCAAAAGTTGAACATTGTTCAACTTTTGACGCCGATAGACGCTCGCGATGCTTGCAACGCCTTGCCATGCTACCCACAATGCAGTTCGGCGAAGTTTGAAAATATCCTACGTCACCCCATTCAAATGAATGGGCGAAGCGTTGAAAGCATTTTTTGACGCCTGTAGTGTAGACGGGCCGTTAGTCTATCAGGAGGGTTAGAGCCAGGTGTTTCTGTCAGACGCATTAACTCTCTCCGATCCTAGATGTGTTAATAATATATAATGTAAATACTTGGGTTGGGAGGGTTACTTGTAATGTTCCGTTAAAATAACTAGTTACCTCTGTATAAATGTAAATAATAAACAAAATTCATTACATATCATTTAGCTGAGGCTTTTATCCAAAGCGACTTACAATAAGTGCAAAGACCATAAAGAATCAAACAAGGAACGTGCAGATATATTCACTTCAATTGAGATCGCACCATAGTAAGTGCTGGTGACTCAGATACAAAGCCTAAATTGCTTGGTGTTTTGAAATAGATGCGTTTTCAATTTCAATCTAGTCTCAAAAGTAACCCGATTACTTTCTGTTACTTTTTGGATTTCCTTAATATTAAATTGTCGCTAAGTCACCTGCATTTAAATATTCAATACAGGTGTATCTTCTCTTATCTAACAACCCTTTAGTATGTCTTATACAGGACTCAGAGTCAAACACACAGTCTGCTTTGTGTGTCGTGAAATATCTCCAAGTGCCACATGAAGAAATACTTGAAACCCTTTGCAGTGCGATGCCACAAACCACTATGAATATTCACTTTGTTCATTGTGGAACACTTGCACTTCAAAGGTCTCCATTAATATGGATTAGCTCTGATTAATATTGATGCTCCAGAAAAACTTGTGTGATGTAAACACAATCCCCCCCCATCCTCCTCCTCATCCTCTCTCTTTCTCCCTTTATCTCAGAGTACCAGCTGACGAGTGCAGATCTCACCGCGCTGCAGACGTTCACACCGTCCATGGCTGCCTGGCAACAGCAACCAGTGGTCTCCCAGCAACAGCAGCAGCAGCAGCAGCATCAGCAGCAACAACAACAGCAGCAACAGTCGAGTCAGATGAGCCTGGCGTCGCTCAGTAACTTGGTGTAAGTTGCTTTCTCTTTATTTAACTAAATCATCACAACCTTTGTTTACCTTTTCCTCTTTCAAATGCCACCAGAAGACTTTTAAAATGATGTAACTCAGAGCAGTTAAGTCCTTAAGTAACTAAGTACTGAACTTAACTTTAAGCAGGGTTCTTACGGTCATTAAAAACCTGGAAAAGTCATGGAAATTCAAAATGCTAATTCCAGGCCCTGGAAAAGTCATGGAAAACAATATGTATCCCAAGGTTTTGGAAAAGTCATGGAAATTTAACTAAAGTTGCATCAAATATAATTTATATTTTATCTAATCGCCAAAATAGTAATACTATAATGATAATAAATACTGTATAGTAATGAAACGTAAAATGGCATTTAACTGTCGAGGTGTTTTGCTGGTGAGAGATTTGAGTTGCTTTAGCCTGTAGAAGCTAGCAAGCCTACTATTTGATTTGTTTTAGATAGGCACGACATGTTTCAGATGTTCCTTATTTTCCTGTTCCATGTTAAAATAAACTATTTTCAGTGGTACCGCTGAGAAAGAGTAATATTTTTGGTCATGGAAAATTAGGTAAAGGTCATGGAGAAGTCATGGAGAAGTCATGGAAAATCCTTGGTGAAAAAGTGTATGAACCCTGTTGAAGGTATTTCCACTTGATGCTACTTTCTACTCCTTCTCCTTTATACGCTGGCCCAAAACATGTCTGATAGGAGAAGCTCGCTGCGCTTTTGAAAACGATGCAAATATAAAAACCCACTTAATAAAACATCTTCACCAACTTTGAAGGAAACGCTGCAAAGGCCAACATTATACAAATGAAAAAACGTTGCAAGAGACTCAAAACACAGCGGAGAGTTGAAACCAGGGGACATGAGATGTATTTGATGACCTTTTTGACCTTTTGAAATGCCACCAGTAGACGTTTAAGAAGCTGTAACTTAGAGCGCTTGGTGACGTTCAGGATTATAAAATTGGCAATCTGGAATAAAAATAAGACTAAACAGTATTAATATAAACAATAACAACAATGGATTGTATGTATTATGATCCCTGACAGTATAAGAAGACATACCTGCAAAATCATCATCAATTATTTTGAACAAGTAAAATAAATAATTACAAAATAAAAAATGTTGCAGTGCATAGTCACCTTTACAACAACAACAACAACAACAACAACAACAACAACAACAACAACAACAACAACAACAACAACAACAACAACAACAACAGCAACATAAACAGTCCCACATCTAGTGTTGGAAAAGGAGTGAGAAGAAGTATAATGTATTTAATCTCACCCCCTTGTCCCTAAATTATTTATTTATAATCTATAAATAATTATCAGTATTATTAATTATTGTTTTTATTATTATTATTAATCTGCTTTACTTGTTGATTGACATATATACATATACACATATATATACACACACATACACATATATATATATATGCATATACATACACACACATACACATATATATACACATATACATACACACATACACATATATATATATGCATATACATACACACACATATATATATACACATATACATACACACACATACACATATATATACACATATACACACACATACATATATGTATACACATATACATACACACATATACACATATATATATATATACACATATACATACACACACATACACATATATATACACATATACACACACATACATATATATATACACATATACATACACACACATACACATATACATACACACATACATACATATATATATATATATATATATACGCATATACATACACACACATACATATATATATATATATATATATATATACACACATACACATACATATACATCAGTGTTTCTCAAACATTTTCAAACCAAGGACCACTTAACCAATAAAAAAACACTCGCGGACCACCTAACTTCACAAATATCCAAAAACACATCGTTTTTTATAAATCGCCTGAAAATGGTACAATCAAGTGGCAACATGTGTGATGACGGTGTTTATCTGGGCTATATCAGGCAATCAAAAGTGAAACTTAAACTCGCTCCATTGCGGAGATATTCCCGTGAGAGTGCGGAAAACTTAAATGTATTTATTTATTTCAAATGTGAAATTTTAGGCGCTCACGGACCACCAGTGGTCCACGGACCACACTTTGAGAAGCACTGATATACATAGATACCTACAGTCAACAGCCTACAGTTATTTGTATTAAGTAAGTGTAAGGGAACACAGTTACTTTTTTCTGTATCCTGATTACATAATCCTGTTACATGTAATCTATTACTCTCCAGAATCCAGTAAAGTGTTGCATATTACTCTAAAAAATGGCCATTCTGCATAAAAAATACTTTAATTAATTCAAAGATTCAAAGGTTTTATTGTCGTAAGCTACAGTGTAGAAATGGCAATGAACTGCTTCTGACCTGAGCTCCTCCTACGATGCAACATGTATAATACAATACAGAAATACAAAATAAACAGTAGTGCAAGAAGTGTAGATAGAATATGGGATATGAAATTAAATAATGTAAATTAAGACAAAATGGTAGTTGAAATACATTTTGATGCAATGGTTAAGTAATACACACTGAATGCAGGACAGTATTTCTCCACTGTGGTTAAACTAAATGAATTCAAAGTGGCTCTCCCACCTCTGACTCAGACTCATGAAACATTTGAAGCCTCTCTCCCGTACGGAGCTGTGTTATCACCCCAGCTGTGTTTGATTCATCTTAGCGGTGACCTAGATACTCCATGCCTCTTCTCCCCACCTCCACTCCCATCCTCCCACTCACCCCCCTCAGATCCCACTCCCACTGGGGTCCTTCTCTCATTTAGCTCCTGGTAGCTAGTCTGCTAGCCGTGTTATCCGTCAACACACAATTTTAAAACATGTCTCTTATCAGATGTTCTGTTGTAAAGTTACTTCCACTAAGTCGTTCAATCAAATCAACATAAAATAAAAATACATTAATAAAAGTAAGTCAAAGTCAACGTTATTGTCAGTCTTCCAGTTGTGTGTACAGACAGAGAGACCGAAATACCGTTTCCCACAATCCTGAATACAAAAACAAATATGTATATACCTATATATACACAAGACATATTTATACATATGCACACATTAAGAGCTAAATAAAAGCACAACAACCAACAAACAGTGCAGTGTGAGATATGAATAGTTCAATTAAAAGCAGTGGCAAAAAGAAAAGTCTTCATTACATCACAGGCAGGGGAAAGCAGCCATTTTAAACTGTTCAGGACCATGTGTGTTGTAGCATTTTAGCCGCTAGCGCTAAGTTTTTTCTGTTAGCCGTCTGGCTGTGCTAGGCTAACCTGTGGATGGGGAGCAGCTTGTAACTGCCTCTTGTTTTGTCCTCCCTCCCCCTTTTTCTCCACAGCATGTGGGGTGCAGAGAAACAGAATGCAGAGATGGTTAACTGCATCTCCAATTTTGCTGCTAACCTGAGGTGAATGACATGTTAGCATCTGTTGCTAAGCGGCTCTGCTATGCCTTTTTATCTGTAAAGTTATACTCACAGGCTTTGGTTAGGAGCCAAATAACCCAAATCACAAAATCAATGCAAAACCTTCTGTCCTTTCCATCTGTGTGTTACATGTTAATGCTTTGCTGTCTGCACGTCATCGCTGCTTCAGTTTAAGACAGTTTACTTGTGTGGTTGTAAGCATCTGCGTGCACATAACTCTGAGATGTGAAGCTCTTTGGAAGTGTCACGAACAAAGAGGGAGACGCTGCAGTGTGTCGCTCGGAAAAGGCGTCTCCTGATGCTGCGTTCAGGACCAAACGGCGTCCCAGTGCTCAGCTGTACACCACACAGTGCATTAAAATTTTACTCTGCAGCCATTTAGCTGTCACTGTCAGCCGGCAGTCTTCATAGACTCCAATTCCTCAGACACAGCAGCACTACTAGAAAGAATTATTTAGACGTAGCTTCGCTGTCAAAGCCACTTATTTTGATGGATTGCATTAAATGAAATGGAGGTTGGAATTAGATGGAGTTTGATAATCAGTTAATAGTCTGTAACGCTCTTGGGTCTGCTGTGATTATGGACTTTTCACTTGCTACACACACTGAAATTAACATTCAACATTTTGTTCAACAACATTTGAAGGAGCTGCCGGAAATGGTCAAAAAATGCTGTAAAACTAAAGATGGCTGAATTCCTGTTGGGTTCACAGTCTAGCCACAATAGACTTTATTTGTCATCTCCACGTGCAGGAGAGGACTCTTTAAAGTAGAGACACTACATACTGATATACACCTGAACATCAGCAGGAGAGGACTCTTTAAAGTAGAGACACTACACACTGATATACACCTGAACATCAGCAGGAGAGGACTCTTTAAAGTAGAGACACTACACACTGATATACACCTGAACATCAGCAGGAGAGGACTCTTTAAAGTAGAGACACTACATACTGATATACACCTGAATATCAGCAGGAGAGGACTCTTTAAAGTAGAGACACTACATACTGATATACACCTGAATATCAGCAGGAGAGGACTCTTTAAAGTAGAGACACTACATACTGATATACACCTGAACATCAGCAGGAGAGGACTCTTTAAAGTAGAGACACTACATACTGATATACACCTGAACATCAGCAGGAGAGGACTCTTTAAAGTAGAGACTCTACATACTGATATACACCTGAATATCAGCAGGAGAGGACTCTTTAAAGTAGAGACACTACATACTGATATACACCTGAACATCAGCAGGAGAGGACTCTTTAAAGTAGAGACTCTACATACTGATATACACCTGAACATCAGCAGGAGAGGACTCTATAAAGTAGAGAAACTACATACTGATATACACCTGAATATCAGCAGGAGAGGACTCTATAAAGTAGAGAAACTACATACTGATAAACACCTGAATATCAGCAGGAGAGGACTCTTTAATGTAGGGACACTACATACTGATAAACACCTGAACATCAGCAGGAGAGGACTCTTTAAAGTAGAGACACTACATACTGATATACACCTGAACATCAGCAGGAGAGGACTCTTTAAAGTAGAGACACTACCTACTGATATACACCTGAACATCAGCAGGAGAGGACTCTTTAAGTAGAGACTCTACATACTGATATACACCTGAACATCAGCAGGAGAGGACTCTTTAAAGTAGAGACTCTACATACTGATATACACCTGAACATCAGCAGGAGAGGACTCTTTAAAGTAGAGACACTACATACTGATATACACCTGAACATCAGCAGGAGAGGACTCTTTAAAGTAGAGACACTACATACCGATATACACCTGAACATCAGCAGGAGAGGACTCTTTAAAGTAGAGACACTACATACTGATATATACCTGAACATCAGCAGGAGAGGACTCTTTAAAGTAGAGACACTACAGACTGATATACACCTGAACATCAGCAGGAGAGGACTCTTTAAAGTAGAGACACTACATACTGATATACACCTGAACATCAGCAGGAGAGGACTCTTTAAGTAGAGACACCAAATACTGATATACACCTGAACATCAGCAATAGAGGACTCTTTAAAGTAGAGACACTACATACTGATATACAACCTGAACCATCAGGCAGGAGAGGACTCTTTAAAGTAGAGACACTACATACTGATATACACCTGAACATCAGCAGGAAAGGACTCTTTAAAGTAGAGGACACTACATACTGATATACACCTGAACATCAGCAAGCAGAGGACTCTTTAAAGTAGAGACACTACATACTGATATACACCTGAACATCAGCAGGAGAGGACTCTTTAAAGTAGAGACTCTACATACTGATATACACCTGAACATCAGCAGGAGAGGACTCTTAAAGTAGAGACACTACATACTGATTATACACCTGAATATCAGCAGGAGAGGACTCTTTAAAGTAGAGACACTACATACTGATATACACCTGAATATCAGCAGGAGAGGACTCTTTAAAGTAGAGACACTACATACTGATATACACCTGAACATCAGCAGGAGAGGACTCTTAAAGTAGAGACACTACATACTGATATACACCTGAACATCAGCAGGAGAGGACTCTTTAAAGTAGAGACACTACCTACTGATATACACCTGAACATCAGCAGGAGAGGACTCTTTAAAGTAGAAACTCTACATACTGATATACACCTGAACATCAGCAGGAGAGAACTCTTTAAAGTAGAGACTCTACATACTGATATACACCTGAACATCAGCAGGAGAGGACTCTTTAAAGTAGATACACTACATACACCTGAACATCAGCAGGAGAGGACTCTTTAAAGTAGAGACACTACATACCGATATACACCTGAACATCAGCAGGAGAGGACTCTTTAAAGTAGAGACACTACATACTGATATATACCTGAACATCAGCAGGAGAGGACTCTTTAAAGTAGAGACACTACAGACTGATATACACCTGAACATCAGCAGGAGAGGACTCTTTAAAGTAGAGACACTACATACTGATATACACCTGAACATCAGCAGGAGAGGACTCTTTAAAGTAGAGACACCAAATACTGATATACACCTGAACATCAGCAATAGAGGACTCTTTAAAGTAGAGACACTACATACTGATATACACCTGAACATCAGCAGGAGAGGACTCTTTAAAGTAGAGACACTACATACTGATATACACCTGAACATCAGCAGGAGAGGACTCTTTAAAGTAGAGACACTACATACTGATATACACCTGAACATCAGCAGCAGAGGACTCTTTAAAGTAGAGACACTACATACTGATATACACCTGAACATCAGCAGGAAATAACTCTTTAAAGTAGAGACACTACATACTGATATACACCTGAACATCAGCAGGAGAGGACTCTTTAAAGTAGAGACACTACATACTGATATACACCTGAACAGCAGCAGGAGAGGACTCTTTAAAGTAGAGACACTACATACTGATATACACCTGAACATCAGCAGCAGAGGACTCTTTAAAGTAGAGACACTACATACTGATATACACCTGAACATCAGCAGGAAATAACTCTTTAAAGTAGAGACACTACATACTGATATACACCTGAACATCAGCAGGAGAGGACTCTTTAAAGTAGAGACACTATTGATATACACCTGAACATCAGCAGGAGAGGACTCTTTAAAGTAGAGACACTATTAATATACACCTGAACATCAGCAGGAGAGAACTCTTTAAAGTAGAGACACTACATACTGATACATACACCTGAACATCAGCAGGAGAGGACTCTTTAAAGTAGAGACACTATTAATATACACCTGAACATCAGCAGGAGAGTACTCTTTAAAGTAGAGACACTACATACTGATACATACACCCACCAAATCTCATACATGTAGGAACAATACAAAGACTGCGTTCTAGGTGCACGAACCCTAACATGCGTACATTTTCACCACCGAAAATTGCATCCAAATACATGTTTAGGTCCTCCAAACTGTGATTCTTTTTAGACATAATAATACAAAACCTTGACCTGACGGTGTCGGTGCTCAGACACTAGAAATATCTTTGCTTGAAGTCAATTCAAGAGACTGCAGCTGCTCACAGTCTCTATCACACACAACAAAATGAAGATAACAGAAGTATGTTTAACAACTGACACTTGAAGTAATGCGATCTGTCAGCAGGGAGACTGTTGTGTGTTTCTCCGTCTGACAAGCTGAAAATTGTCCATGAAAATATGATAATAGGTTGTTTGTTATTGTATACAGCAGCTGTGGCTCCTGGAGGGTTTGTGTGTCTTTCAGAAAGCAGGATATAGTCAGCAGAGCTCCTCTCATCGCCCTGTTTTAACAAATGGACGTCCAGATTGCATGAAATTATTCAGCAGGCAGATCTGGTAAAACACTCAGGAAATGAAGAAGGAGCCAGCGCTTGTTCTCAAGGGAATTAGCTAAATCCAGATATAGCTTCTCTACTCAGGGAAATAAAAATAGTTGTTATATACCGTGAAGTGTTTATAATCTTTAAGATGAAAGGTTTGAGATTCTGGTCTGTTTTGCTTCCGGGACATGTCTTCTTTCGGACCAGTATAAACAAAATATACACTTAGAAGTTTATTTTACTATTGTTGTCTATTTGCGTCTGTAGATTTCTCCTAAATTCACCAAAGGGTAGTATAACATCATGCCTCATTTCCAGATTCAAACACAACATTTCAACACTTGAGAAAAATATGAAAAATAATTATCTTAATGTGAGTAATGACGTGGGGAAGTTTTAAGGGGACATCTGTAAGTTACATTTTACAAGTTACACGTTAAAGATAGATCAACAGAACCGGCCAGCTAACCAATCAGAGCAGACTGGGCTCTGGTTTCAGACAGAGGGTGAAAAGAGCTGCTGCAACACAGGCAGTATGAGAACAATAAAGCATGGAGACATGTCACAGTAGAGACACTACATACTGATATACACCTGAACATCAGCAGGAGAGGACTCTTTAAAGTAGAGACACTACATACTGATATACACCTGAACATCAGCAGGAGAGAACTCTTTAAAGTAGAGACACTACATACTGATATACACCTGAACATCAGCAGGAGAGGACTCTTTAAAGTAGAGACACTACATACTGATATACACCTGAACATCAGCAGGAGAGGACTCTTTAAAGTAGAGACACTACATACTGATATACACCTGAACATCAGCAGGAGAGGACTCTTTAAAGCAGAGACACTACATACTGATATACACCTGAACATCAGCAGGAGAGGACTCTTTAAAGTAGAGACACTACATACTGATATACACCTGAACATCAGCAGGAGAGGACTCTTTAAAGTAGAGACACTACATACTGATATACACCTGAACATCAGCAGGAGAGGACTCTTTAAAGTAGAGTCACTACATACTGATATACACCTGAACATTCAGCAGGAGAGGACTCTTTAAAGTAGAGACACTACATACTGATATACACCTGGACATCAGCAGGAGAGGATCTTTAAAGTAGAGACACTACATGCTGATATACACCTGAACATCAGCAGGAGAGGACTCTTTAAAGTAGAGACACTACATACTGATATACACCTGAACATCAGCAGGAGAGGACTCTTTAAAGTAGAGACACTACATACTGATATACACCTGAACATCAGCAGGAGAGGACTCTTTAAAGTAGAGACACTACATACTGATATACACCTGAACATCAGCAGGAGAGGACTCTTTAAAGTAGAGACACTACATACTGATATACACCTGAACATCAGCAGGAGAGGACTCTTTAAAGTAGAGACACTACATACTGATATACACCTGAACATCAGCAGGAGAGGACTCTTTAAAGTAGAGACACTACATACTGATATACACCTGAACATCAGCAGGAGAGGACTCTTTAAAGTAGAGACACTACATACTGATATACACCTGAACATCAGGAGGAGAGGACTCTTTAAAGTAGAGACACTACATACTGATATACACCTGAACATCAGCAGGAGAGGACTCTTTAAAGTAGAGACACTACATACTGATATACACCTGAACATCAGCAGGAGAGGACTCTTTAAAGTAGAGACACTACATACTGATATGAACCTGAAAAGGAGCATTAAGGCTATTAAGTGTTAAGTAATAAGTATCAAGTGACTACATTAAGTGTATCTGTTGTGTTCTTTAAGACATTTGGATCACTAATCCTGACTTTACTGAACAAGCAGGGATTTATTGTGCGCTCCGGTTTGACAGCAGAATAAACACGGGGCAGGTTCATCCATCTGTGTGTGCCATCACAGTGTCTGTCACTGAAAACAAGCGTGCGGCGTTTTCCCAACTGTTCTCTCTGCTCGACGGACACTTCTGCAGCCCAGACTGCTTTCTGATTTCATCTCAAACAAAGCTTTGTCCAATCAAACAGTGAACGCCGGTTTGGCCGCCTTCGCTGTCGTTCACACTTAAACTCGGCACCACAAAATCATTTCTGTCATCTCATCCTCTCCCATCCCCCCGTTATTTAATCATTCCTTACTTCCTGCTTTTTTTTCTCAGAGTTTAATCTGGACCTGTTGACTCCCCTTCTCTCCCGTAATCTAAATGTTAATATATCACGGCTGCCACAGTGCAGAGCCTCTCTTATTTAGCCTGTCTGTGTAGAATTGCTCTCCGGATGCCATTTGGTGTCTGTTTCCTCTCTGCGTCGATGTGTTATCTGCAGACTGGTACATTTGAGCAGGGAAACAAACAGAACAACTTCTCGGTACATTGTGTGCTCGTGCCTCACTGTTGTTTTTGTCCATTTGATCCATTCATGGCTACAAATCAATAACTGTGGAGTGGATGAAATGTCTTATTGCTGGCTGAAGTTCCCTGCTTCTCACTTTCCTCTCTCTCTGTCTGTGTCTCTCTCCCTCCTTCTCTCAGCTGTTGTTTGAGAATAAAAACACACTTGCACACACACTGCTGAATTGCTTACAGGACACACTGTTTTTAATCAGCAGGGCACAATGCACACATGCTATCAGAGGCTGTTCAGTGAAACCTCCCCAGAGGAATCTGTGTTTTCCCAGAGTACACATTAGACACCAGAGTTAAAAAAAAAACAGCAGACGCTTCATTACACATGCTGCTACCTGCTATAGTTTAATTGAGCAAAAATCGTATAGACTGTGCGGTCATTGGATGCTTATGGTTATTGGTTCTATTGGTGATTATTACACTTTGCATGCAGCTCTTAAAGGTGGGGTAGGTAAGTTTCAGAAACCGGCTCGAGTGCACTAAAATATGAAAGTACACAGCCGAAAAGAATCCGCCTCTTCCTTCAGACTTCCTTCCAGAGCACCTCCTCCAACACACACGAACGCGCACATGACTTAGGTTGGCTATATAGTTCAGGGGAATTGTAAACCATACAAAACAGATAATTACCTGTCCAAGAGCAAAAGAGCGACCACGAAGTCAGATTTCAACTCGGTGTGTTCCATCAGTAGTCGCCATCGTTGAAAAGCAACTCCGATATTGACTCTGGTTTGACTTCTCCTAGTTTCCACTTTCTTTTTGTTCTTAATTTGCTCCGTTACATTTTTTCTTTTGCGACCAGTAGACGATGTTGAACCTAACTCTGCCATGGTGAAAGTGGCCACCTGTTGCTGGCGAGTCATTGAAGTACTGCTGCAATGCACGCCCAATGAGGGCACTCCCAATGAGGGCACTCCCAATGAGGGCACTCCCAATGACGGCACGCCCAATGACGGCACTCCCAATGACGGCACGCCCAATGACGGCACGCCCAATGAGGGCACTCCCAATGACGGCACGCCCAATGACGGCACTCCCAATGACGGCACGCCCAATGACGGCACGCCCAATGACGGCACGCCCAATGAGGGCACGAGATACATTTGTTCGTGCACGAGATGGAAGGCTGACAGACAGGGCGGCAATCCGATTGGTTATACTTTTTACAGTACTACGGCTTCCACAGATGATTTGTTGTCAAAGCACTTCAGATATTCATTGCTATCGGATGTTTAGAGCATTCCATGGAATATAACAAAAAGTGTATCTCGAGCCGGTTTCTCAAACTTACCTACCCCACCTTTAAGAGCTGTGTATGAAAAGTGTCTGCTTATCAGTAGCAAATTGATTTGTGCTTCAGATTAGTACGGTGGCCCACAGGTGCCAACCCGGAACAGTTCCACTAAGAGACACCCGCTGCAGCTTCAGAAACGATGCTAATATCAAAACACAAATGTGCCAAAACAGATACTTGCCCAGCGTTTACTAAAAGCGCTGTGTAAACAAAACGCTGCAAGAAGCTCAAAACCAGGGGACATTAAAAAGTGACGCACACAGCTGGGAACCCAAACACTTGGTGACGTTCGAGGGTTAAAAAGTTAGCCAACCGTCATTTTTAGTCAACGCTGCGCATGTTTCGTCAAGTTAGTGAAGATCTCTGCATCGTTCTTGAAGCTGCAGCGCGTTTCTTCTCATGGTTTCAGGCGTATCGGCCAACATAGATTAGCCTGGCATATTGGATGCAAAGAAATCACAATTGCATTTTCTGTAAGTTGTTAGAAAACGAAAAATGTGTCCAATAAGGGTTGCCATCTCCCTTTTACAAATAATTGCAAAACATGCATAAGTTCATCCCTCCAGTCAAACAGGAACAAGTAGCTGTTGATAGAAAGACATGTCTGTTTACTAGTAGCGAACTGATATAGGCATCACATTAGCCCAACATACTGAATGTTGCATTTACCGTTTACCGTCAATTCTCTCATAAAAGGGAAACACAAAGGGCTGTCGTCTCCATTCTGCAAAGAACATGCCTTATTTCATCCCTCAAGTCCAATGAAACAATTGTATTTATAGCAGGCTCTTAAATAAAATACACTGTTGGAGAATGTAGGGAATATTCCTTTTTAAACTCCCGTTGGCTTGCCCCCCATTGTTAGGGGAAAGCCGATGTTTTCAGGTCTATTGGAGCGGACTGTAAGAATGCATTGCGTGTGGAAGAAAATCAAATGTGTGTGTGAGCAGCAACACTTCCCGCTCTGCCTCTTAACAACATGTCTGAAGCAGCTGTTGAGCCTTTTTATTGTTCCTCTGTTGCCACTGAGCGTGCCTGGCCTCCGTCCCGCTGTCGGAGCTCTCGTTTTTAAACTTGCTTGTCTCTTTTTTTCCTCCCCCTCCTCTGCAGCTTGGCCTCTCAGTCCAACTTGCTCTTTGGCAGGGAGGACGGCCTCTGCTGGTACTGTACTCTCTACACACACTACAGACACACACACACACACACTACAGACACACACACACACACTACAGACACACACACACACACACAGCACACTGCACTCCCAAAATACCTGCTGCATGAGGAACTAGAGCACAGTTTTTAAAAAGAGTTTGCTACTGAAATAGAGACGTGTTGCCTGTCTATAAAAAGATTAAAGAAGATTCATTTCTATGGGCTCAATCAGCTACATTTGAGCATGAATTAATTTGTCAGGGTTGGGGAAAAATAGGACCCAAGTGCAGATTGAGGAGGGAAGCAGGTTTCAAAATGGAACAAAAGGCGAGCTTTATTCACAAAAGCTGAACAAACAAGAATCCATGAACAGGTACTGTAGCACGAGGTAGCATCCAAACAAAAAGGGACTCCAACATGAAGGGAGACATGAACGACAAATAATGAGCCAACACCAAACACAGGAAGAGACAAGACTAAATACAGGGAGGGGTAATCACAGGACAAGACACAGCCGGGCAGGGGAGGAGAAACACAAGGGCAACAGGTGAACACAATCAGACAATCAGACACACCAGGGAAACTAACGACAGGGAGGAAGACAAGACACAGGGAGAACAGAACAGCAAAATAACCCCAAAACTAGACACACAAAAACTCAAACCCTGACATAATTGAGGAATTGGAATTATGTTAGGGCTGAAAGTGTCACAGAATTAAGTAAATATGCTTCATTATGATCCTGTTTTTAAAAGTAGTGTTTGCAAAGGTGAAATCAGGATTATACAAAGGGATAAGCATAATTATAAGTACTTCAGAGGTTACAATAACATAAGCTCCATAAGTTAAATAAGGATAGAGGAGGTAGAAGCGGAATGAGATGATAGATCCAATATCTCGGCTCATAACCCAAGGAATTATCTAAAATGTCGACAATCCGTAGAGACAGGAAACTGCTTGTTAGTACTTTTACCCGTCATTCAGCATTCAATTTAAATATAATTGACTGGTTTAAATCTGTAATTTAAATATTCTACATTCATCCATCATGAAACCCTGGCCTCTTTCCATTTAAAACCTCCCAGAATCAGGTTTATAGCCAATTCATTTACAGATACAAGGAATTAGTTTTGGTGCATAAACACAGAGAAGGACTTTAACATTCAAATATACACTAAACTAGAGACTTAGTACAGTTCATATTTGCCAAAATGCAGTATATTAGATTTAAAAGAGGGAACGTTATATCGTGAATATTTGGTTAAAGCAGTTTCTTCCACAAACTGAGGAGCCCTAACCGTGTGTAAAACCGTGAGTGGCCCTTTAAATATGCAAAACTACAACTAATCACAGCCTGAACTGCAGACAGCGCAGACTGTGATCCGTCAAATTCAGTCGCAAACCTTTAATTATGTACAACCCATTGTTTTTCCGAAACGACTTCTTCAGTAAATCTGTCTGAATTTCACTTAATCTGAGAGCGATTGTGCAGCTCCTCAGAGAAGCAGTGCATTCTGGGACACAGGGCTGTTTCTCCTCACACTGTCTGCTTCTGGCTGTGCTCGCTGTGTTGTTCGCGCTCGGGGGGGTTTACAATCGCCTTCATAACTGTCAACCGGAGAGATGACTCTGCTGTTTTAACGCCAATCAGTATAACTGTGTGTGTGTGTGTGTGTGTGTGTGTGTGTGTGTGTGTGTGTGTGTGTGTGTGTGTGTGTGTGTGTGTGTGTGTGTGTGTGTGTGTGTGTGTGTGTGTGTGTGTGTTGTGTGTGTGTGTGTGTGGCTGTGTGTGTGTGTGTGTGTGTGTGTGTGTGTGTGTGTGTGTGTGTGTGTGTGTGTGTGTGTGTGTGTGTGTGTGTGTGTGGTGTGTGTGTGTGTGTACCACCCTTCCAAGACTATACTTCTACTTTTACTCGAGTACAAGATCTGAGTACTTCTACGTTTACTCAAGTACTTTTACTCAAGTACTTCTTCATCCATCTCTGTGTGTGTTTGTCAGTGTGTGTGAGGATAGCAGGGAAGGAGCATTAGTATGTAAGCCAGTAAGAGTGCATGAGTTTCAGTGTGTGTGTCAGAAATGGAGCAGGACACGGAGCACATTTGAGTGCCGCAGATCGCCCGGAGGAGCGATATCTTAAATTCCCCCGTCAGTCTGCCAGTAATTGAGGGAATATTAGAGACACAGTGCTGCAGATGGCTCATGATATGACATATTAGAACACACCCGAGGGGCGAAGCGCAGTAATTGGGAGCTTCAAATGCAGATCGACCGTGTCAAGCGAAGGGAGACGGAGAGTTGGGGAAAAGGAAAAATCCTGTCGACAACGTCAAAGGAGCGGTGCAGCGTCAACAGCTGGTGTTAGTCGGAGTGACAGACTCCACTCAGAGAGGGTGGGGGGGCTGATCAGAGAGAGAAGGTAGAAGCACAGACTCAGACGTAAGATTAGTCTTAAACATCACAAACATCTTGAAGAACGTGCACAGAAATCATCTAGAGCAGGAATACTGGCTTGCGGACTTGATTATCGTTAACAGACTGATCCAGTTGAACCCTAACCCTCAAACCAGGAAATGAGTTATCATTTTACCACTTTCAGTTCCCTTGTCTTGAAGTCAATGTAATTTTTAATGCATTTTTTGCAAGATGCCTGAAATATAAAGTCTATGGTTAACACAAACTGCAGAGATTTTCACGTTTTCACATAAAATATGGCCTACAATAATACTTCATCAATGCACCACTCTATTGGCAATCCCCTTTAAATCATACCGATAGCACTTCCTTTGATACCCTCTATGTGTAAGGAAGATGCTTTGTTGCTGCTTCGTTAGTGAGCTAGTGACAAATCACATTATTACAAAGAAATAATACTAAGATTTATTAGTTGCAAAACCCCACACATAGTCATCTGTTTCTAAAACTGACTACGAACGATCAGGAGCAGGTATCGTTTGACTGGAGAAGTTTGGATACTACTTGGTTCAGGGATATTTCGGTCAATACCTTTTTAAAGGTGTAAAGTACATACACCTTCAAAGTATAGATTGCCATTACCTAAACCTAATAGTAACAGGCTTTGAGGATTTGAACGATTAACATTCTCTTACAAAATAGACCCAGAAACCTAGAACTCTCCAAACTCTAGACCCTGATGGTGCTGAACAAGTCTCTGTCAGACAAACAGCACACTGCATGTCACATAGCTGCCCACTCATTCATTTCAATGAGTCCAACGTGTTGTTGCACAGAAGGCACTGAAGCAGACGCACAGTGATACTGCAGAAAAGCATACACTATTACCAAAACCCTATTCGATGTCTTTCAGAAATGCACTGCGTTGTCCAATCAAAAAACGTGGAAACACACAATCCTGATAGAAGACTTCTGGGCCTCTGAGACTCAACATCACAGTTTTCCTCTCAGTCGTATAAACACGTTTTTATTCAATGCTCTTAAATGCTCTTGCACCAGCGAGTAGTCCCATTTTGTGTGAATGTGATATCTCCGGGAGTCTTGAACGAATTCCCTAAAAGTTTCTTGCAAACAGAAAACTCTTTCAGCCAGAGCTCAATAACTAATCTCAGATGATCATGGCCATTTGAACTCTGTCTAATAGGATAACATGATGATACTTTGGACAGATGTAAACTTGTTGGTGGAGGCCAACAACCAGGAGGCGGTAATTCTAGTTCACTTGAATGTCTTGAACTTACTCAAACTGACCTTCCTGTGTCTGATCAGTATGTGAAGTCACACGCAGGCAGTGTTTTTAGGCATCGTGCTGCTTTTGATTTGAATGAAGCCAAAAGGCGGAACATGGACCTCATCCAACAGATGGTTCCTGGAAAGCAGGCCGCAGAAGAAGTCGTATTTTATTATTCTAAAATCCATTTGAATATGGTTCCAATCTTCGAGATAAAAGCAGGGGATTTCCTAACTCTCATTTGTTCATTATTATAATTTTTCAAGCTGATACTGATAGCCTGTTCCAAGTTTCTAACAAACTGATATACTTTTTATTCTCCGTTTGACTTCTAAAATAGCCTCGTTTTGAGCAGCAGCATTTTCTTTTTTGATCATCATCCAGTATAGCTGTTGTTTTTTACGTTGTAGATGCTTCAGTTTCTGTGTATGTTGTGGTATTAATATCAGAAGGTAACATTTGTACTCTTACAAGGAATGATTCAGGAACGTCTCACCTGTCAGGTTGAAAAGACCCCGTAACTTTTAATCATGCAACGGGAACGGGAGCGGACCAAATCCGAAATGTTTGAGCTGCATGGCTTCTAGACTGCTTCTAAGTGTGGCCTCCAATGTAGTCCTTTTTGTTTGGTGTGTCCTTGTCCTCCGTGTGCTGAAGCCTACATGCTGCAAAGTGTCTTGTCTTTGAAAGTGGCTTCAATTGATTCATTTTGGTTGCGACCATTCCTTGAATTTGTTTGCAATTTTTGATTCGACCAGCAAACTGTGATCTAATGAAGGTCCTCTCATGTTCTGTTTGAAGACAGTGTTTATGTTCTTGGTACTATCATCATATATTATGTTTAATTGTATTAATCTCTAATCTGTGTCAATCTGTGCTGTCCTGTTTTTCATTCTTACACTGTTGCTGTTAAACTACTGAATTTCCCCATGGAGATTAACAAAGGTCCATCTTATCTTATCTTATCGTCATATCTCACTGTTTCTGTTTTCTCTCCCTCCATCTTTCTGTTCTCCAGGCCGATGGGTCAACTCTCTCAAGGCGGCGCACTGACCGTCAACACGAACCCCAACATCAACATCAAGTCCGAACCCGTGTCTCCGAACCGTGACCGAAGCACCCCCAGCTCCACCTGCGGAGGAGGAGGAGGAATGGGAGGAGGAATGGGAGGAGGAGTCGGCCAGATTCAGCTCCAGGGACAGGGTCTAGTTTCGGTGGCGTACCCGGGTACCCTTCGTCTGGAGGTCGGAGGTCAGGGACGCTCGCCAGTCGACAGCCTCAGCAGCAACGGCAGTTCGTACGATGGCAGCGATCGGGACGACGGGAACCAGGGAAGAGGAGGCGCTCCGACAGATTTCCTCCACCAGGGCGGCGTCGGGGGGCAACAACAACCCACCATGGTCCTCCTGAGGCCCTCATCGGCTGAACCCCAGGAGCAGGACGGGACCAACGTGAAGAGGATGCGACTGGACACCTGGGTCACATGAATCCGCAGAGGGACGGACGGACAGATGGAGGATTGAGATGGAGATGTGTACTTGTGGCTTGTGTACATGCCCCCCACCAGCCCTGATGCCCCCAATTTCCTTCGTCGTGCACACACAAACACACACACATATATTTATACACCGTTTATACATCGACCCAGTAACCTACACGGGAAACGCTGACCTCACACAGCATGCTGACACCGTCAACACATTTGAACTCTGATGTATTTTCACTCACACAAGCCCCGACGGGTAGAGCCACCAAACCAGGGAATATTTGTCTAAACATTATTCAGATACATTTGAATAGAAGTTTTTAAATCAGGCCACAAACCTAAATTTGGCCACTTTGACTGTTTCACCCGACATGTTGACAACTGCTGGTTTCCCAGCATGCCCTGCGTTTGGATATTCTGTCTGTGCTGCACTGCGTTGAGTCAGTGCCACCGAGTGAGTCGTCACCACGGTTGCATTGTTATCGCTGTAGATTCTCGGGCCGTTTGTTGCTGTTTTTAAAGCGTGGAGTTTTTCTTTTTGTTGTCCTAGACTGTTGACCTTTAGCGTTTGGATTTGTCTGACTTTGGAATATGAAGACACTAAAAGAGAAACTCTTTCCCCAGCCACGAGACTGATGACCCCCCCCCCCCCCCCCCTTTTCCCCTCCTGGGTCCTATATGTAATCCCAACCATGCAGACTAGCTGTAAAAACCAGGGACGAGGTAAAATACTTTTCTTTGAATCAGGGACGAGCTGCACCGGCTCAACAACACATGACGCAGAATCCCAGCTTCGCCCTCACCTTGTCAACTGCAGATGCTGAGAAAGGTGTGTGTGTGTTTGGTGTGTGTTTGGTGTGTGTTTGGTGTGTGTGTGTGTGTGTGTATGGTTTGTTACCTCGTTTTTTAACAAAGTGATGTGGGGCAAAATGTTCATTCTCAATTTCATCCTGGAGCACACACCTGCGATGCACACAGCTGAATTTATTTTTGTGTTTTGAATAGATAGCTGATGTTCAAAGGGGGCGGTTGGCGAGGTACCGTGTATATAAGCAATCTGTAATCTTTGTGGCTTTTGTGTGACAGGGATAGGGTGTTTTTGAAGGTATAGATCATACAGTATGATACAAGTATATATTTAAACAGGCGGGCAGCTCTGCATCGGGGGCGGGACAATAGACGACAGGGATTGTATATACAAACTATATATCGGCAGGATATCCCTTAACAGGAAAAAAAATAGCAAACGCATTGATTCTCAGCGGATCTGTCTCTTTTTTTATTTATATTTATGCGTGTATATAAAGTGTAATATGTGGACGAGCCTCAAGAGGGAGCTGTAGAAAGGGAAAACGTAGCCGCGGTGACTCGGACTGTTTTAGAGAGAGAACGGTTAGGACTCCGTCACTGATGGAGCGCACTTTACCTGAACCCCACCCTGACCCATGGACACACACACACACACACACACACACACACACACACACACACACACACACACACACACACACACACACACACACACACACACACACACACACACACACACACACACACACTCACCGCCAGTTTAAACAGATACACCTGCTTTTCAAAATCTGACATTCAGCAGATACAAATCAATCTTTGCACTATTTATTAAATTCTCAAAGTTAATGTATTTATTATCAACCAATCAGAGCTCCCATTAGCATTCTGCAGTTCGGACCACCTTTAATATTTTATTAAAAAGTTAAATTAAATACGAGTTAAAAGAAGACAATATTAAGGAAAGGGAAATTAGTAAATTAAATATTTCTACGAGGTAATAATTATTTAAAAATATCAAATTATTTTTAAATTAAATACAATATCAAAAGTACAACTTCTGATAAGGTTTCTTTAATTTATATATTTATTAAATATGATTCATTTGCAAATGTGATAATCATTTTATTATGTTTTCCTCCAAAAATAGTACATCCACCTAAAAAACATTCATGATACAGATTTCTAAATATTAATGAAAACCAATGAAGAAATTCCATGATTTGGAAACATCATTGTTTTCCCAGTTCTAGCTCCGTCACATTTCCATCAGTCCGGTGTCCCATGATGGTCTCACTTCCCCCCAAGAAGCTTTCCACTTTTTTAAAAATGTTTGCGGATATAATCTCTACTTATTATAAGTACTTTTGGCATATCAAAGTGTTGAGTATTTGCAGTGTCAGTATAATAATGCTAAGTATTTTCTGTCACGGACATATCAGAGCGAACACACAGAGAGTATTGAGCTTTTTTTACCCCCCCCTGACCTTTCCTCTCGGTATAAGCCATGTATTATCTTTCCTTCGTGTGTCACTGGTTGGCTGTACTTTTATATTTACGACTATGAAGGTAAAAGAAAATGTGAAGGATGTCATTTTTGTAAGGGGGGGATTTTTGGGTTTAGCGGGTAGAATTGGTTAAGAGTACAAAAGTATTTATTTCGTCTCTTCTCCGTCGCTTTGCTCGTTAGAAGTTTCGGACGCAGGGTCGGGGTCTCGTTAAGCCGAGGGTCACAGAACCAGATCTTTAATGACTGCCTCCCAAATCCAACACACACTTTTCAACTTTCGACACGTCCCCTCCGCCCCGTCACTCACTCAGTTGGTTTTTAAATCTCACACACACACACACACACACTTTTAAACACACTACTTGAGGCTGCACAATTTCAAAACATTACGGATCACATTTGAAACATCATTCAAATGTTTTTACTATCTTTTAAAATATGTTTGTTGGGCAACCAGTGCCTTTATTGCAGAGACAGAGTTTTAAAACGGAGGGGATGAATATATTTAAAAATATATTTATAATATATCATCTTTCCTGGTTTCCTTGGGTCTCATTTAACACATGTATGTCAGAATAAGGGGATATTTCATCTAATTGCCACAAAATAATAACATGGATGATTCTATACTACGATCTTCGCAAGAAAAGGTTGTGATCACTTCCCACGTTGAACTGTGAGTGCTTAATTCAAATGAAAGGCATCACCGGGTCGGTTCTGAATAACATTTGAAATACACTTTTTTAAAACGTAGTTTCACTCTGTTCTACACTTAAGTCCTTTTTGAAGAGGATCTGAAACAAACACCATATTTTATTAGGTCTTCAGAATACCAAGACTTTTCTAAAAATACTTAATTCAGATATTTCTTATATACTACTAAATATTTAGCTTGGCCATCGCACCACGTAATGCAAATCCATAAAATGTTGATCGATTGTGCAGCCTCTCCGTTTACTCCGTCCAGAGAGCAGGCGTCGTATCCGTCCTCCTCACACACACACACACACACACACACACACACACACACACACACACACACACACGAACACACACACACACACACACTTTGACTGTTAAGACTGTTGTACCCTGAGCTTCGAACAAAAACAAAACAAAAAAACAAGATGGCTTTGTTTGTTTGTCGGTGATGGAGCGGGTTTTTGCAAAAACAGACACGACAATCGTGCGGAGAAATGGTTTGGCACCCCCCCCCCCCCCCCCCCCCCCCCGCCCTGAATTGAAGCTCCTGTGTAATGATGTTTAGAAGTCTCACTTTCCAGTGTTAATCTGTGCTGGTGACAGTCTGTTTTTAATTGTTCTCTGAAAAGTGATATTATTATATTCATCATCACGACCACAGCTCTCACGGATGGCAGCTGTCATGATGGTATGGATTTTTTTTTTGTGTAGGTTATAGGCATTTTTTGGATTTTATTTTATTATATAAAAATATTCTATAAATATATTTTTTGTTTTTTTTGGGGATTTATTTTCTTCTTCAAAAAAGGGTGTTACTAATGTTGCACGATTTCTATGAACACAAGCGTAGTGATACTAGTACACGTGTGGCGAAACGCTTCAATGCTGCGACTTTGAGTCCAATGTACAAACACACACACACACACACACGCTAACATGGGACACACGCACACACACGTCTAACTTATTTCTGACCAGACACAATGATGTCAATGCATGGGCGAAGAGTGAATCATGTTATAGGAACTACACATGTCATATCCACACAAATATACAACACACAGGAAAAAAAAAATGGAAGAAAAAAGTTTAAAATAAATTATAGCTAATATATTGTGTTCGGCTAGTCTGCTTTTTCGTTGTAAAGAAACTTTTTTTGTTGTTTTTTTTGGAGAATGATATACAACTTGTGTATATTTTCATAAATAAAGTATGCACTGATATGTTATTACAAATTCTATACTGCTTTTACAAAAAAAAGTGTTTGTTATTGTACCAAAGTATCCATTGGTCCCCTCTTACCCGCCCCCCCTTTTTGCGTATGTTTTACCGTATTTTATATATTAAATAGACAAGTTGACCTACAGGATGTCTGACTGTGTGGATTTCTGTTCTGCCCTCTTTCTGAAGCAACTGCAGTTCCGTGTTTTCACCACCAGATGGCGCCACTCTTATATTTAGATCTGCACGAGGAGGAAGCTGAAGTGCAGAAGCTCAGATTTCCAAAATGCCATCTTTAAGGCTTTTTAAAATGAGTTACCTGCATTATAACACGGAGAAACACTGACTATTATATCATTTAACTTAGCACTACAGTATTGTTATATAAGTGTATCCCTGTGGTGTTTCAGAAACCACAGAAATAAATCTAACTTTTTAAACTATTTTAATTTACAAGACAGATGGAGACTTTAATACAAGGTTTTTTATTTAGCTTTTTATTCTGACATTTTGTGTGTTTAATTGAGATTCATCAATATTTAGATGTATTATAATTGATTAATTAATATGCTATTTTTCACTACATTTGAGTGAATTTTAATTATTTATTATCATTATAATTCATTTATTAATGATGTATTATCATGTTTTTATCATACATTATTTATTTCTTATTTTTATTGTTCAAGTATTATTTATGATTATAATTTATTGATTTATTATTGATTTATTTTAATTAAAAACAGCTGCACTGCATTTTTCTGATAAGCACAAACGTACACACAAATGTTAATTTGCATAAACACGTGTTCTTTAGCTCATGCTTGTTCAATAAGCCACTTTAACACAGATCAATAACCTGTGACTGTTTATTGATCAGCTGGATCCTCCTTTGTTCTTCACAGAGAGGAGGTCAAAGGTCAAAGGTTGGATGTTTTGTTCCCACTGTGACGACCTCTGAGATTATTGGATGTAATTAAACAATGATTTGTCTTACATTGGAGCCTTAAAGTGCATTCATACTGACGCTAGAAAGGCTTCCAATGAATGTCAAAGTGTTAAGACATTACTTTTTAACAATCTTAGATGAATAACAGGTAAACAAGTTGTTTTATGATCTCGACAAAACAAGCAATTATTCCTTCATCTCGCCACAAAGTGTCAAAACTCATCATCCCAGAGTCAGTATTCTGAGTGCACAGTAATTATCGTGTTAGCTCCGGAACAACAGCGGGTGTCGGCTCTGATGAACGTTACTTCACACACATCAGTGAGCAGTAACACAACTGTTTGGTAAATATACATTAAGATGCAATGAGCATAAATGAATATACTTGGTTCATTCCCAGTGTTGTAGTGTAGTACTTTAACATCACTTTATGTATTTGACGGCTATAGTTCATGATATCCATGTAGATTTATAGTTAAAAACCTAAAAGATCTAATGAAATACAGGAGCATTTCTGCATAATGGGTACTTTTACTTGTTGTTCTTATCAAATTAGACATATTTTCACTCACAAAACAGTATTATCACAGTGTAGGTTTGCAAAAAAATATGGTTTAAAAACTACAATACCCATAATGCTCAGCTGTTGGTGGGAGTGAATGACATTTATTTGACTGAACATGTACAATATGTTAAAATAAAGAATCTTAAAGGATGGATTTAAAGATGGCAGCGAACTTAAGTCAGACAGCTCAGTGGTTGTTGTTGAACAGCATTCTGGGAGATGTAGTTGTTGTCTTACTGTTCTCCATCTTTCCGTTCATTGATCTGTTTCACAGGAATACCCATGGACCCCATGCTGGTTGTTCGTCTGGTTCTCTTCACTCTGCACACCGTGCTCATCCTCACAGTGACAGCCATCCTCATCAGAAGGTCACTGAGAACACACACACACACACACACACACACACACACACACACACACACACACACACACACACACACATAAATCATCTGAAGCACTTCCTGGAATCGTTTCTGCAAAGGTTCATGATGATGCGTTTTTGTGTTGATAGTTTCCTGTTTTATTTTGAAGTGTGTGTTCCTCCTTGTGTTTTGTCTGGTTTGACTTCCTGTGTTTTCCCTCCTGGTTGTGTGAGTGTGTTCACCTGCTGCTCTGTGTTTCTGTGATTAGTGTGTTTTCAGTTCTGTCTTCCCTTCGTTCTGTCCGTCGTCCATGTTTCTGCTGCTCTTCCTCGTGTCCTCACGTTAGTAATCGGCAGTGATGACGAGATGAAGCTTTGAAGCATTCCAGCTAATTGGTTTGCGAAAGGGTTCATCTCATGAGGCTTCATTTGAACCCCCCTGTTGGTCAACGTGTGTGAAACAACGATATGGTGTGATCTTGCTTACACCGAGTTCCCAATGAGTAAAGCCTTAGAATAACCACGAACATGAAATCATATTCTCATGTTAACAATTTGTATCAATATTGTACACATTTATTTATCCCTGTATTTATTTATGTATTTTCTTATTTATTTATTTATTCATGTTTTTATTTATACATTTATTTATGTATACTTATATCATGTTCCGCCCTCCATATGAGTGGGGGCAGGGGCGGACTGGGAATAAAAATCAGCCTGGGACTCTCGACCGGCCCACTTCAGTACCGCAAGTAAATACCGCTAGTAAATTGTCGTCAGTACCGGCCCACTTCAGTGGCCAATCCGCCACTGAGTGAGGGTCTGATCTCTCTTAATCCCATCGTGGTAATATGAGTGTTGTAAAACTGTGAAGTGTTACGGCCCGTCTACACTACAGGCGTCTAAAAAGCTTGAAGCTGGGCGTGTCTGAGGCTTGGGGATTTTTTGCGAGCAACGCGACCAACAACCAATCACATGAATCTCCCGCCCCCGACATACAAAGCAATAGCAATGTTAAAACGAAGTAAACTGGATATAAAATCCCCAAACAGGCGAAAACCTACCAGTTTCACCCACTGTCTCTGCCACCTCCCTCCATGCCTCGCTCCTCCGGTTTGTATCCCGGTAGATGAACAGAGACTGATCATACAGCACCGGGTGATTCCCTACCGCTATAATGAATTTTCCCTCAATTTTTTGGAATATGAGGAAATGACCTGCGTAGTCTCTCCCAGCATACACGCGGTTTGATTGGCTCGCTTGTACTGGCAGATTTGCATAAACGGGATTTCATTGGCTGACGCCAGCTTCGAGCAAGCATCGAGCCTCAAAAGTTGAACATTGTTCAACTTTTGACGCCGATAGACGCTCGCGATGCTTGCAACGCCTTGCCATGCTACTCACAATGCAGTTCGGCGAAGTTTGAAAATATCCTACGTCACCCCATTCAAATGAATGGGCGAAGCGTTGAAAGCATTTTTTGACGCCTGTAGTGTAGACGGGCCGTCAGTGGTTCAACCGATCTGAAGCTCTATCTGAAGCTCTATCTGAAGCTCGATCTGAAGCTGGATCTGAAGCTGGATCTGAAGCTCTATCTGAAGCTCTATCTTAAGCTCGATCTTAAGCTCGATCTGAAGCTCTATCTTAAGCTCGATCTTAAGCTCGATCTGAAGCTCTATCTGAAGCTCGATCTGAAGCTCTATCTGAAGCTCTATCTTAAGCTCGATCTTAAGCTCGATCTGAAGCTCTATCTGAAGCTCTATCTGAAGCTCTATCTGAAGCTCTATCTGAAGCTCGATCTGAAGCGTGGTATCAAAGGGCAGCGAGGCTTCGTTTGTCATCGATGACGTCATTGGCCTAAAACGAGCCTTCAAGCCTCGATACACGCTTCACCAAAAACGTCCTGGAACCACGCTCCGAAGCCTCGGCGCAGTACGTAACATCACTAGTAATTGGTTAGTAATTCTTAATATTTTGTTTTTGCGTTTCCTGCTCTGGTCCCCCTCTTTTGTTTTAAACTTGAATACCAGCTTCCACCGTTTTACCGCTCATCGCTGACACAAAGTGCATTTTGTACTTAAATGGGAAACCTGAATCATCAAATGTAATCCCTTGTAATTCCAAAGGTTTGTTGTCATGTTCCTTTGGTTTTGCATATCGTTAACTTTCCTATCGTTTTAAATCCTGCCTTTCAATCAGCTCGTCCTCTCACCTCCATTCCTCCATATCTGATGGATGTCTAAGTAGTTTCCCAAGTTAGGATGTTTAAAGTGATGTTAAACGCTGATGTTTACTCATTAGCTCGCTAAGGTATGAGTCTATATTCCCAAGGGGTGACTTTATCCTTTTAACATAATAATCGATTAGCAAAAAAACAACATATGTAATGAGGTTAAATTGTTAACATAGGTTCAAGAGCATGGCCACGCCTAAAACTCCGCCTCGAACCACGGCCACCCCTATTTATATCCGGCCACTGCTTGTCTCCATCCTTTCATGACAAAACATGTCTCTATAAACACCCCATACCCGAAAACATCAGTGCAGCTTCCAGCCGGTACAGCTGCTGTAAGTAATGCAGTGACTAAATATAAGGACCTCACAAACTGTGAGACAGCGACCCTTTAGCGGTTGGATTTTCAGGGAAAGAATCGAACACGAGAGGAGGTAGAATTGCAAACCACGGTGACTTTATTCCCAAAAACACCACAAGAGAACAGTAGCCAGCATGTAGGTGTTCACCCCTCTCTGGACAGGTTCACCGCTGACTGAAGACTGGCTCTTTTTATAGAGGTTCTTCAGAGGATTTGATTGGGAGACACCATTCACAGACACACTTAATAAATACATGTGTGGTTATTATTATTATAAAGAAGATCTACAATATAATTTACCTAGCATTATTAGTTATTCATAGCCATCTGTTAATTGAACACAAGAACAACATTATAACTGTCCACCATACATATAACAACGCAATGTAACATCATGTAATGGCTGGCAGACTTCACTCGACAGTCACTGCTTGTGTGCAAGAGCATCGCCACGTTTCTATTTTCACATCATTTGACTGTATCTGATCCTGTTAGAGAAGAGGATGATGAGAGGATGCAGCCGGACGTCAGCTGGCGCCGTCAGCTGGTCCTCACACACACACACACACACACACACACCACACACACTCCTGGCTCAACAGGACGCTATTAATAACCACTCTCACACACACATGCTCAGACAGACGTCCAACTGGACAGTCTCTTCATCTCA